CCCCGGAATTGCATGGCTCTAATTAGGGCAACTCCAGTGTCGTTGTCGAACCGTGTGATTCGATGAAGACGAACAAGAGCCAAGTTCGCTCTCTCCAGCGTGTGCATCGCTTTGTGGGACCCAAATGAAACTAAAGAATTGTTTTTTTTATCCAAGCAGTGCGGCGGTTGACAAGCGCAGGGGAGTTGTTTGGCATCCGGAAAGATTTCTTATTGCCCCTAACCGTCTGCAGAATGCGATTTCGTTTCTGACAACCAACGTCCGCATGCTCTAGTGCTTGGTTCGTTTTTTTTCTTCCCCCGGTTCGATTCTAGCAAACACTCGAGGTGTTCTTAGGTGAAGCACCCGCAACAGCCGCACTGAGGTGGTCACAGGTTTCCTCCACTTGATCACACAAAATGACACAACGGGTGGGGTTCTAGTCCATGGCGTCTTCGGCGATCCATTGTCTAGAGTGTTGTGCTTGACTAAGAGTCAAAAGAAGATCTTCACCCGAAGTGGCGTCCAACACTTCCAAATCAGGTCATGGCCGCGGAATTGCATGGTTCTTAGCTGAAGCACCCGCAGCGTCACATGCAGAAAGAATTAGAGATATGAAGGCACGCCGTCTAGACGGCCTCCCGAGTGGTGTCTCACGTATGTTCCATTTAGTTGGTGTGTTAGATAGAAATTCGCGACTCAGATGAGCGCATCATCACAACTAGCCTTCCTCCATGCATTCGGCAGTGGATAGATGAAGTAAGTGGACGCATTCAATGAAGTAGATGAAAAATTGAATGACCATGCATGCAAAGACAATATAAACTGTAGGTGTACTTTGCATGCAAAAAGTTACTACGGTAGGGGGATTTACATCATTGTGCTTTCACGTGTCCTTTACATTAAAAAAAAGTTACTATGACAGGAGGAATTTACATCACATGTGCCTTCTCCTTTTACATTAATGAATTTACTATCAATAGATACTAGGCAGTAAATTTCCATGCATGCACGAGTGCCTCCCTAAGCTATCCGGAAATTCACTCAGTAAATTTGAAAGCACTGGACATCTTCTCCTGCGTAGGGTGGGTCGAAAGTAGGTGGACACATTTAATGCCTCCCCTCCATGCTACCATCAGATAAAAACAAGTCGGGCAGGTGGATACATTTAATGCCTCTCCTCCTTACCATCAGATAAAAATAATTCACCGACCATGCAGGAACATTCGTACTTACACATGCATCCATGCATCTAAGAGACGGCTTGGGTTGTGTGCACGTTGCTCCTGAGGTGGTCGGTGGTTGGGGTTGGTCGCCATTAATACGGCTACCATACTTGCATCTACACCCATGCATGCAGAGGCGCCCGTTCCTCCTCCAACTCTTGCCTATATAAGCATGTGCCATCCATTGCTTCATCGCACCCCTCCCAGCCCTCCCAGTGTCTCCATGTGTCCTCCTTGTAGTTCATATCTGAGGAATCGGTAGCTATGGCCTCGGGGACAAGCTGCAGGTGGTGAGTGGACCCATCTCGGGAGATATATATAAAGGCACGCCCGTCAAGCGGCCTCAGAGTGTCCATGTAGCCTCTATTGTCTCCTCCATATATGATTTATTTCTAGCGGTCCAGATGACAACTCCTCTAGCTTAGCGCCACGCATGTCGTCCACCTCAAGAGTCTGGCAAGCATGCTCTATCGCTTCAAGGGGCCCACCATTTATTCTACCCAAGGTATTTATTCTACCAACCAAGAAAGCATTGACACTATACCTCTATTGGACGCATGCAAACTTGAAACAGGCACACGCATGCAAGCATTACAGCATTAGCACATACATTTAATTCCCACACGCTCATGTCTTTGTCTTCTGAGTAATATCTCATGTGTGGCTGTGTCATTTGAGTAGTAATTTTGATGGTTGCATCGACATACATGATAATAAGTAATACTCCATATGTGTTAAACTATGTGTGTCCAATTAAGTTAGCTCTAGCTCTCACTATTTGTTGGGATAGTTATGGTAATGTGTATGGGTGACTGGTCCATTAGTATAGATACTCTACCTTTTTTTAGTGTATGGTGTAGTTACTCTACCGTTTTTTAGCGTAGTCACTCTACTTTTTTGAAAGGTAATTACTGTACTTTAGTCTAACCAGTGCATTAGGAATTTGGATTAGTTGATTCGATGCCAACGAAGTCTCTTTAGCAGATTAATCTTACTTGCTCCTTGTATAAGGCATGTTATTGATTTCGTTCTTTGCGTTAATACATGATGTTTTGGGTTGTTGTACGCCTGGTTAACTTAATTAACCAAACCTCATTTGTATGGCCGCAGTGATTAAAGGCATGCATGCATACTTGAGTGAGAGTGTGCATATGCATGCAGTCGCATGTGCATGTGCATGCATGCATGCCTGCTGGAAACAGATGCTCATTATTGCAGCAAAGTGAGTACTCCCTCGGTACTCAAAAATAAAGTTGTTTTGGACAAGGCTTGGATCTGGGAATATAAATCATGAATAACTTTTAAGTTGTTGAGTTTAGAAATGTGAAAGCCATATAAATAGATTTGTCTTGAAAAATACTTTCATAAAAATATACATATATCACTTTTTAATAAATATTTTTATAAAAACAAGGAGTCAAAGTAATACTTTGGAGACTGTGTCGCTGTCCAAAACAACTTTATTTTTGTGTATGGAGTGAGTAGTTGAGACTGCTGGCATTAATGAGCTTCTTGCACCCAGCAATTGCAATAGACTGAAGTGTCTGTTGCACCTAGATATAGATAATTTTTTACCCATACAATGATGGTAAGAGAGACAAATTTGTTCGTAGCAAAAAAAACTAATTGAATAAAATATGTCGTAAGTAAGTCACCCGCAGCGAAGCGCCCGCGGCGAAGCGCGGGCAGGACAAAAAAAGAAATTCGAACAAATATGTCGTATGTACGTCACCCGCAGCGAAGCGCGGGCACAAGTGGCTAGTACTAGAATAGCATGCTGGGACGCATGCTTGTGGTGAGAAAGTAAGTTTGCCCTTAAATGCACATGCCCTCACTGTTGTGCACATATCACGATATATCAAACGGTGGACATCACAAGAGCATGTGACATTGAGGGCAAAAAAAAAATTCCACTTGTGTTACTATCTATAGCAGTGTTTGACTAGTATCTAATTCACTACTGGAAACAGAGCCTTTGCCGAGTGCAAAAATCTTTGCCGAGTGTTAAAAATCGGACACTCGGCAAAGATCTTCTTTGCCGAGTGCCGCACTCGGCAAAGAATTACACTCGGCAAAGAGTTCTTTGCCGAGTGCCAGGCACTCGGCAAAAAAGTGCACTCGGTCACTCGGCAAAGAGTTCTTTGCCGAGTGCCAGGCACTCGGCAAAAAAGTGCACTTGGCAAAAGACTTCTTTTCCGAGTGCTAGACTCTCGGCAAAAGCGTGGCACTCGGCATAGGCTGCCCCCACAGAACGGTGTTCGACCACGTCCTTCTTTCTTAGAGTGCTGCTGCTGCCGTTAGGCACTCGGCAAAGATTTATTTTTAAAAAAAATTATTTGCCGAGTGTCCCGGATCCGGCACTCGCGGCAAGATTTAATTTTTTTTTTGAAATTCTTTTGCCGAGTGTCCCGGATCTAGCACTCGGTAAAGTTTTTTTTTTGAAAATACTTTTGAAAGTGCTCCCACACACTCACACTTTCGGCAAAGATTTAATTTTTTAAAAAATGTCTTTGCCAAGTGTCTTCACAGGGCACTTTCGGCAAAGAGAATTTTTTTTAAAAATTCAAAACCCTTTTTGCCGAAAGTGCCTTATTCTTGGCACTTCGGCAAAGACCCCTTTTTTGAGTGCCATGCCCCCTTTCGGCAAAGTTTTTTTGTTTTTGTTTTTGGCTTCCAAATTTTTTGCAGCCCTTTTAGAACACCAGGAACTCCTAGTTAGAATTTGGGTATTTTTTGTGGCTTTTTGATATATTTAGTTACTTTATTTAGTTTACTTGAATTTTTTCAAAAATATAATTTTGAGGCTGCGTGATACGAATAATGGAATTTAATAATTCAAAAATGATAGTCATATTCTTGAGTGTAGTGTGAGGCCGTATCCGAGAGCGGATCCGAAATTTCGAACATCTTGTTCACGAAACATGACCATACTTCCATGATCAGTTGTTTTCAATTCTATAAAAACAAGCGAAGTCAAAAAATTATGAAACTTGTCAAGATGTCATGATATCATATGTGGACTCTGTGATAAAAATTTGAGAATGTTTATGTGTATGTTTCGTGAATAAGATGTCTCTAAATTTCAGGTCCATTCCTCGATACGGTCTCACACTACACTCAAAGAATATGACTATCATTTTTGAATCATTAAATTCTATTATTCGTACTACATGCTATTCAAAATTACATTTTTCGAAAAAATTCAAGTAAACTAAATAAAGTAACTAAATATATCAAAAAGCCACAAAAAAAAATTCAAATTCTAACTAGGAGTTTCTGGTGCTCTAAAAGGGCTGCACAAAAAATTTGGAAGCCAAAATCAAAAAAACAAAAAAAAACTTTGCCGAGTGCCGGGGCATGGCACTCGGCAAAGGGGGTCTTTGCCGAGTGTCAAGAATAAGGCACTCGGCAAAGAATTTAAAAAAATTAAAAAATATTTTGCCGAGTGCCAGATCGGAGGCACTCGGCAAAGATTATTTTTTTTAAAAAAAAACTTCTTTGCCGAGGTGGCACTCGGCAGAGAACTAAGAAAAAATAAAAAAAAATACTTTGCCGAGTGCCGGATCGGGCGCACTCGGCAAAGCAGGAATTTCACCCCGCCGGCCCAGCGCACCGTAACCGTAACCCATTCACTTTTCACGGTCTCACCCCAGCCGCCGCCGCTCTGGTCCGCATTTCCGCTTCCGCTCCCTCTCTCCCGCCGTCCTCGCGCTCGAGGGATAGGCCACGGAGGTCCGCGGCAGTTCTCTCTTGCTGCAGGTACAGGCCCACCCATGGAGGAGACTGGCACAAGCCATGGCGGAGACTGGCACAAGCCGCCCGCCCGCCTCTGGCACCGACGCCGGCGACTTCCCGGAGCTCCTAGGTTTCTGCGCACGCGCGGAGGCCCTCATCGCTGAGCTGCTCCTGCTCTCCGACCGCGCACCTCCGCTGTTCGCAGACCGCCACTTCGACCCGTCCTCTTCGACTTCCGGTGACATCTCTCGCTGTGTTCTCTGCCATAAATAATAAAATCCGTACCATCGCAATGCGAAAGTGCAACTTTGTGAATTCTCCTCCTATTCGTAGATAGAAATCTGCACATCTCGAGTACCCACCGTAGCTTTAAGTTTTAATAGCTGGAAGCACTGGAAGATCAGCTCCGTGACTCCTGCGGCTCTTACATGCAGATATTCTTCTCCTTTCTGATGGCGCCGTCACTTACCACGGAGAGCTCTGCAATTACCTGAATGATCTGCAGGTTAGGCTTTGCGCCGTTGCAGTGTCTTTGTAACTTGTAGATTGATGCCATTGTTGCTAAATATTTTTAGATGAACTAGAGCGTCAAACATGATGCCCCCGGTCCCAATTTTAGTGACACTAAACGAGTGTTCTTTCATGTTTAGGAAGGGTTATATGTCCACTGCACATTAGATCATGTGTTGGAGAATAACTGCGCATGCCAGCTACTCGTGGAGTCAATGACTCTGTTCGGATGCATGATTCTTATAATGGAACACAAAATTGGTGGGTTGCTGCGCGAGAGGCTCCTTGTGGCACACCTGCGGTACAAACGCTGTTTTATCTATCCCAATCTGGAGCAGATATGTGAGCTCTGTCGTCGGCATGTGCCGACCCCGGGTACTTCTGCTAGTTCTGGTTCATCACCATTTAGCTCGGACATTATTTCTATTCAGAAGTCTGAGGACCTACTCAGGTGGTTCCCATATTCTTGCATTTCTCAGTTGATTTACTTGTCTCTTGGGATGCATACAAAGAAGCAAAGTCATCATTAGTTTCCTGCCTTTCTCCCACTTCCATTCGTGATATCAGTCTTCACCATTATACAAAGGTGAGTATAGCAAAACATTTTATTCTATTATTATCAAAGATTTTCCTGTTTTGGATGTTGATTGTGAATTGCAGCTCAATACCTACTTTTTTCTCTAATTCATAAATTAGTTGAACTTGAAATTTTCTATGCTCCTCTTGGATTGACTATCTGTATTCTTTTCCTGAAATTTTCTCACTTTCCTTTTTTTTGACTTCTGCATGCTGTTTTTTTTCAACTCCAGGTTCCTTATTTTTTAGCTGACTTGGATATTCACATGCATGCCATAAACAAGGAGTATGTGCTCAATAATTCTCAGAGTCTTCTTTCTGTCATTAGAGAATGCAATTTCACTCTCCGTTGGCTTTTGCTTCACCGCATGGTAAAGCTCTATATTTACATTAATCATTACTGTACATCTTGTGAAGCAGCAAACCATTGTTATGCTTGTCTTTTTGTTATTTTACATTCTAACATGCTATATCAGTGCGTAGTACCTGCGTGGACATGCTAGTCTTAACTACTTTCAAAGTTACATTTAATCAGTGCGTAGTTCTCGCTTAACCGGACGAGCTATTAGTAACTACTAACTAATATTAGTGTGCAGAATCAATCGGCGGCATCGAACGATCCTCATGCTTCCACAAATATGAGTACAGTAGTTTCAGAAACTGTCTTCAGCATTTCTTCATCTAAATTGCATCAGTTCCTAGATGTACATCTTTTATAACATTGTCTGATGATACCTGCTGCTGCTTTCAACTTACTGGTGTATGATAGATTTAAATTCATGTGTAAAGTATAATGCTAGAAAATATCTTTAATGCATGATATTGGACTGTAGTTTATGAAAAAGGCATGAGCTCTCAATATGTTTGTCATTTGCCCATTTGACTTATGAAAAGTGTACATGCCTATTATGATGAACTATAATTAAGTTGTTTTGGTGATGTCTTACAATCAGCATCTGTCTTTGGTTCCACTTTACTATGAATGAACTTATGGTTGATTTAACTGAAATGCTTACTGATTTGTGGTCTTATTTTGTAGAACAATCTGGCTATAGAAGGCCTGAGGAGGCAGCAGTGCGGTGCGTGGAGGCAGAGGCCCAGCGGTTATCTCTGCAAGCGTGTTTCACCATTTTTGCAGATCATCTCTCTAGAAGAGATTCTGACCAAAGACAAGAGATGTTGATGCCGAGATAGGGGAAGTGCTACCCATTTGCCTTAGAAAAGATATATAGGACAAAATATTTGTTAGCTTGATTGTGAATTGATACATACTAGTTAGCTTGATCGTGAATTGATTGTCCTCAAACTATGTGACAGCAGTGGACTCGCTAATAAATGAAACTCAATGTATGTTTCTATGATTGGTACGGTGTATTATTAGTTGTACTGCATGTTAATGCAACGATAATGTGACACCAATTTGTGATGTTTGTTATATATATCTTCTGTTTGTTTGGATGGAATGTAAAAAACAAATAAAAAAGGTTGTTTTCAGTCACTTTGTCGAGTGCAATGGCCATGACACTCGGCAAAAATTTGGAAAAATGGGAGCTCGGAAAACCATTTTCCCAGTTTTGCCGAGTGTAATGACCACGGTACTCGGCAAATAATTTTTTTTTAAAAAAAATTCAAACTTTGCCGAGTGCCGGCCAAAGGGCACTCGGCAAAGATTTTTTTTAAAAAAAAAATTCAAACTTTGCCGAGCGTCGGAAAGGGGGCACTCGGCAAAGAATTTTTAGAAAAAAAAATAAAACATCTTTGCCGAGGGCCGAATAGAGGACACTCGGCAACGAATTTTTTTTAAAAAAAAATAAAAACTCTTTGCCGAGTGCCTGCAGGGTTGGCACTCGGCAAAGAAAAAAAATTTAAAAAAAATTAAAAAAATCTTTGCCGAGTGCCTGAAGGGTTGACACTCGGCAAAGAAATTTTGTAAAAAATAAAGAAAACTCTTTGCCGAGTGCCTGCAGGGTTGGCACTCGGCAAAGAAATTTTTTTAAAAAAAATAAAAAAAATCTTTGCCGAGTGCCTGCAGCGTTGGCACTCGGCAAAGAAATTTTTTTAAAAAAAATAAAAAATCTTTGCCGAGTGCCTGCAGGGTTGGCACTCGGCAAAGTGACCGTCAACGGGACCGGCGCCCTGACGGTCGCTTTTCTTTGCCGAGTGTCCCCGGGGCACTCGGCAAAGTCTTTGCCGAGTGCCCGATAAAAGACACTCGGCAAAGAGGGCTTTGCCGATTAATTTTTTGCCGTGTGTTCTTTGCCGAGTGCAATTTGGCCTTTGCCGAGTGCCTCGGGCACTCGGCAAAGAACCTGAATCCAGTAGTGATTATATGATGATGATTGCAAATACTCGAGGCCGTGTCTGCTAACACCTACATAAACTCTGAATATTATAATATGTCCGTCGCGAAACAAGAGAAACAGAAGGACCCTCTTTCATTCCCGCCATTACCTCCCTACCCTTCAAACTCGAAAAGCATTTTTTTAATCCAAAATCAACCAAAACCATCTTCTCCAAACTAATTAAGCAAAAAAAAATTCCCCTGCGTGCAGCCTCCCTCCATCTGACGATCGCTCGTCTAGGATCGATCGTCCAAGTCCGTTCATGTCCGTGGCTGCCTGCCCTCCGTCAGGCCTGACCCTGGGGCGGGGCGGGAGGGACGGCCGTCCCAGGTCCATTCCACCGATGGGCCCCCACCCATGCAAATACGTATACACTAGTAATAATACGTATATGCTACGCCAGCACTAGATCTCGTGATCACGGTGCCAGGAGTCACGCACGCCACTCGCGACCTTCCGCCTTTGGCCTTTCCTGTGTGTGCGGCGGCGTTCTAGTGTTCCACTTTCCAGAATTCCAGAAGAGCCGGTGATTCCCTCGTCTCTGATTCGGTGATTCCCTGAACCGAACGGACCTGAATCCCCGTTCGGCAATCTGCTTATCGGCAGTTCTAGAAGAGCCGTAGAGGAGAGTTTCGAAGGCAGGCGCCAGGCGGCAGCAACCAGCAAGGTAGGAATCTGAAACTTATTTACTAATTGTTTCTCGCATGATCTCTACTTTGTAAAATTGTAGTTACTAATTGTTTATCTTAATTTTAAGTACCATGTCATCATGAAAGTATCCTTCTGGCAACGACAAAACAAAGAAAAAATAACGAATAGATAATTTGGTAGAATCACAGATAAGGGCTTTTCGTAAATTTCTTTCTTAAGAGTAATACAAGCACTTCGAGAGATCTAGATGCATTGCCGATAGTTGCTGTGGAGGAAACAGCTAATGCTAATCCAGAAGATTAGGACCATATGGAAGACAATGTTCACGTCGACACGGATGAACACAATGTGAGTGATCATGAGAACGTACTTAATTCAAGTGGAACAGAACCTACAAATTATTTTATATGAATATTGCTTCTGCATTCAGTTAACTGTTTATTAGTAACATTTTGTATATATGTGTATATACTACCAATGGGTAGTACTAGTAGTATTATCATGTTCATATAAAAAAGGTCTAAAATTTTAGCTTCGTTCCAGGTCTAAAAATACTTAGGACCGGCCCTGCCCTCCGTCGTCGGAGCAGAGCAGGCAGCACGCGTACGTTGCCGTTCCCCGCAGGTTGCAGCCATGGGCCAATGTTGCTCCAAGGGCGCCAGCGGGGCGGTCGACGACGGGGCGCCAGGCGCAAAGGCGGAGGCGCCGAGCCGCGCCGCGTCTAATGGCGGCCACCAGCGACCCTCGTCGGCGTCGGCGGCACCTGGTGGCGGCATTGGTAAAAGGACGTACTCAGTGCAGAGAGCTCCCGAACTGTGCGGGGTCTGGGGAAGGGTATTAGTGGCAAGCCTTACCCTCGCCTGTGCAATGCGAGGAGACTACGACTTGAACCAGGGACCTTCCGGTCACAGGCGGTACGACTCTACCGCTTGCACCAGGCCCGCTCTTCTAGCGGCGGCACTGGTACCAATAATAAAGCGGCGGCCTCGCCGTCCGGCGGCAGGGCCAGCACGAGCAGCAGCAAGCCAGCAGGCCCCCTTGGCGCGGTGCTGGGGCGGCCGATGGAGGACGTGCGCGCGACCTACTCCATGGGCATGGACCTACTCCATGGGCATGGAGCTCGCACGCACCGGTCCACCGGTGAGAAGCTGGCGTGCAAGACGATCACGAAGCGGAAGCTGGCGACGAAGGAGGACGTGCGGCGGGAGGTGCAGATCATGCACCACCTCTCTGGGCAGCGCAACGTGGTGGACCTCAGGGGCGCCTACGAGGACAAGCACAACGTGCACCTGGTGATGGAGCTCTGCGCCGGCGGCGAGCTCTTCAACCGCATCATCGCGAAAGGGCAGTACACGGAGCGCGGCGCCGCGTCACTGCTCCGCACCATAGTGCAGATCGTGCACACCTGCCACGCCATGGGGTTGATGCACCGGGACATCAAGCCCGAGAACTTCCTGCTGCTCAGCAAGGCCGAGGACGCGCCGCTCAAGGCCACCGACTTCGGCCTCTCCGTCTTCTTCAAGGAGGGGGAGGTGCTGCGGGACATCGTCGGCAGCGCGTACTACATCGCGCCGGAGGTGCTCAAGAGGAGGTACGGCCCGGAGGCCGACATCTGGAGCGTCGGCGTCATGCTCTACATCTTCCTCGCCGGCGTGCCTCCATTCTGGGCAGGTACCTGCTTTAGTTTATCGATTGATCGGAATCCATCGGATTCATGGTTTCTGAATGAATGCTCTTGGTGTGGCAGAGAATGAGAATGGCATCTTCACGGCCATCCTGCGTGGGCAGCTTGACCTCTCCATCGAGCCATGGCCGCATATTTCACCGGGAGCCAAGGATCTCGTCAGGAAGATCCTCCACATCAACCCCAAGGAGCGACTAATGGCGTTCCAGGTCCTCAGTAAGTAGTAAATCTCAACATGTTGTTACCATCATATAATTCATCATCAGAAATGTTGCATTGACATCGCTGATGTAAACTTGCTTGTAGATCACCCATGGATCAAAGAAGACGGGGAGGCACCTGATACACCACTTGACAATGTTGTCCTCAACAGGCTCAAGCAGTTCAGGGCCATGAACCAGTTCAAGAAAGCAGCGCTGAGGGTACATATATATCTGATAGCTACTACTAGTCCACATTCATCTCAATTCTCAAACTGCTCAACACTGCTTATCAAAGCGCTAAACAACACTGCTTAATTACAAGGGAAATTTAATTTAATCTAATTATACCCTTAATTACAAACCTAATGTAGATCATAGCTGGCTGCCTGTCTGAAGAGGAGATCACCGGGCTCAAGGAGATGTTCAAGAACATCGACAAAGATAACAGCGGGACCATTACGCTTGAAGAGCTCAAAAACGGGTTGGCAAAGCATGGAACCAAGCTATCAGACGGTGAAATTCAGCACTGATGGAAGCAGTGAGTTTTCAGAATATACTATTTAAAAATCTGTGGTTCTTTTCAAAATGAGGAGGTGATCGATCTGAAAAAGGTCCCTTTTGAAACTTTCTATATGATTCCAGGCTGATGCTGATGGCAACGGGTTAATTGACTACGACGAGTTCGTCACAGCGACAGTGCACATGAATAAATTGGATAGAGAGGAGCACCTTTACACAGCATTCCAGTATTTTGACAAGGACAACAGTGGGTAATTGAGCGTTGAAATGACACAGCTGAGATTCTGGGCTATAAATAAATATATATCAAAGAAGAATACATATAATTCATTTATTTCACAGGTACATTACGAGAGAAGAGCTTGAGCAAGCCTTGAAAGAGCAAGGGTTGTATGACGCAGAGAAAATCAAAGAGGTCATCTCAGATGCCGACTCTGACAACGTAAGGAACAAATATTATGTAAATTTTGTTGACATAATAAACAATATATAGAAACCACAGCATCATCAATGTCGTTACGAGGAATGGTGGGTATAATCTAGATCAAATGATTAAATGTTTGCTTGTATTGACTGCATATATGTTTTTTTTAGTTTCTTAAATCAAGAGACTAAAACTTACTTTGCACATGTAGGATGGAAGGATAGATTATTCAGAGTTTGTGGCGATGATGAGGAAAGTGACCGCTGGTGCTGAGCCAATGAACAACAAGAAGAAGCGAGACGTAGTCCTAGAGTGAAGCAGCAAGTATGTAGTGTGTAACTGTGTATAGCGCTCAAACAA